GATACATCAATTTTATTTCCGTATCTGATATCACCAGATATCACAATGACTCCATTGTGTTATTATTTCAGAAAAATCTCATCGCCCAGGGAATGTCAAATTTGAAGCAATGACAGCTCTCTCTAATAGATGAGCATTACATGACAGAAAATCAGATAGCTTCAAGACGAAGAAATCGAAAATGCCGCTGTTATCTATTATAGCCGTAGAAAAATTATAGTGTATAACACGGAAATATGATGTTTCAAAATTGAGAAAAATGAAAAATTGTATCAAAATACTATTTATACATAGAAAGATCATAATTGAATAAGCATTTGATGAAACATCGACTAGTGTTACAACCTTAATTTCGAACTGGAGCCAAGAAGACGATATTTTCAACAACAACAAAAAACACGAATTCCGGAATTCACATAGAAACCGACTTTTCGTCGTTATTATGGAATACCCTGAGGTTACTTAACACTCGCATTCATATTTTCTTGAAATGTTCTTAGATATCGTATAATATGAATAAATATTAGGTATATAGATATTATACCTATACGTGATGTTTTGAATAGATGCGCATATTTTATTGGAATCACCCACATCCATTAAATTCACGTTCATATATTTTCATGAACCTACTTTACATCCCTCAACTCATTCAAACTCATGTTCGAGTACAGGGTGAAACAATAAAGTGAATTCATTCAAAATCTTATGACCTGGCTATAATCACGTTATTAATGTTCGATTCATCATTCCGTTGGTTAAGAAGGTGTCACCTTATACAATATACACTTCTAGGAATGCATAGGGAATACAGGTAGGTATGATGCATTCTTTATCGAATACAAAGAAAAGATTCCTATGGGAATGGAATGTCTTCGAACTGTCAGGTGCAATTTTTGAATTTCTTTGGTGAAGAATGAAATTGGAAATTATTCAAAAGGTATACCTACTATATCGAACAACGTTACATGGTCATCGCCAGAAGAATTTCCAGGAGAGGGGACACAGAATTCATATACTTTTTTGTTTCTGGTCAAGATCAAATGTTCAGTTCTGAAATATCAGTTACCTACCGTCTTGAAAATGTTTAAAAAAGCTATTTTTGTGAAAAAATCCTTTTATTCGGCAAATACAACAATTACAAAATCCTTGAACTACTATATATGATTAATATTTTTTTTTTAATAATTAGCCCATATAATGTATATACCGGGTGTAACAGGATCAAATGGTACACTCCCTTTTTCTCCTTCAGCTTCAGAGATAAGTGATTGAAATTTGGAATGACCCATCAACTTGATAAACGTCATGTTTTGACATAAATATGTTTTATTTTCACCGGAAGTGGTTATAACTTCATTGTATTTTCGTGAGAATGTCGAATTTCTTGATTTAACACTAAATCAAATTCCTCAAGATGGTTTGGTATACTATGATCCTGTTACAGTAGTAGATGCGTCAAATAGTTAAAATACGAACCTAAATTTTGATTCTTGACTTATTTGTCCCTAAAAAGCTATAACATCTCGGATAAAATCGAAAAAATATATTTATTCGCCATATCTTTCAAGGAAACAAATATTACACACATTCCTAGAATATAGGACTCGGAAGACAGAGAGAAATGTCAGATTTCAGATTCAGTTATGTTCAATTAGTATTTACTCCTTATATATTTGAAAGAATTACGAAGAAATGCATGATGAGAAGAAAACTGAATAGCAAAATAATGACTGAAGCAATAGAATCAGACGTAAAATACTTGGTAAATACAAATATGTCGAAACCCCTTCTTTTCAATCTGCTCCGAGAGAGTAACTTCTTTGAGGAATCCTCTGGCTCGATGTAATCAGTATTTAATCATCATGTAACTATAGGTATTCAATTATTAAACATTTACTCATTCTTGTTGATTTTCAATACATATCAACAAGACTTCATTGAGTCTATTGTAAAGGCATGGTATCAGGGTCCAGTATCAAGTATATTGATCACTCCAGGATCAACATTACATCACCTATGTACAATATAGCACCCCCTGTCGATATACCCCATTAATGCACAGTAGGCTGGATACATTAGCCTCCGATGTAATTAATTACCCACCATCAAAACGATCGTAAATATACCCCTCAATCTCCCCACTCCTGCCACCCAAAAGTCACCGGTTACCTAATAAAAACACACCGAAAACGCTCGATTTTCCACGAACAAAACATCCATCCAAGGAGAAATGCACAAAACGCATAAAACACCTTGTGTGTAACTTCCGAAGGAATGCATGTGAACTCGACCGATCGGGAAATCTTAATCCACGGTACCTAGAAGGAAAATTCTTTTGGAAACCCGAAAGCCGAAAGGTCTTAGACAGATAAAAGGGATGGTAAACTGTTTTCTTATAGTCGCAAAAACCAACATATTTCCCAATTTTCTTACAACACCCTAAATGGACGACTCCATATTTGACTCTTTTTCGACGACCTGAATATTTTGAAAAAATTTACCGATTTTCATGCGATTTTCGATATTGTTGTTCTGAAATTGTTCTTATCCATCATTTGGTTGCCCTCTTACGAGCAACCCTCAGAAGTCTTCAAGAGATTTGCGCGAGCAAGAAATGACGGGTGTCTTACCTTTCAACGTGTGATCCCAAACACTTTCTTAAGCCATCAGAAAAATGTCTACGGTCATGGTGGGAATCGAACCCACCTATCGGCGATCCAACGTGGATAGAACATTGACGCTTTAACCACGAGGCAACGCTGATGGCCAAATATCAGATCTAATATTTCATCGACTTCAAAATGAGCTAGAACACTGTGAAAAAGTCCGTAGAACGAAACCTACACAGGGTGAGATCAGTCTTGTACGTGCAGATCATTAAAACCCAGATATTACCAAAACTTCCATTTCGGAAAGTTCAACTTCTGAAGGCATTTTTATAATCAGATTACGATTCTGAACGAACTTTCTGAATGTCACGTTTCAATAGTTTGCTTACTTTTGAAAAAACAGCCGTCCTTTCAAAAGGACCATGGGTATAATAAACTGCTACGGACTGCTACTGCCACTGCTACGGATCACATACTGCTATTTTGAATGATATAACAGAAAACATTTTTAGGGATGCAGGCTTAAAGCACATTTTCTGCAAGAGAAATTATTTTCTTATGACGAAAAGTACATTTACGGCGCTGTTGTAACGATCTCAGGGTATATCATTTAAATTCCACAAATAAACGGTGCACTTCACAGTAATACAACATATAATGAACTCTCGGTAGTTACAACGACTGACAATGCGCAAATGACAGTGACATGAAATTATATGAATTGATTCGAAATTGATGAATCAATAGAAATTCTGGCCAGAATCCTTTACAAATTAGATTGAGGATTTCAAAATTTATATTCCTGAAGAATTCAATTGACTGACGTCTTGAAATGGACCTGGCTCTCTTTCGGAACTGCGCCTCTCTCTTAATACTGGATATTCAAATTAAAGTGTCTCCTACCTGCTCTCAGATGTACTCAATGTTATTTTCAAATTTGAACCATCCCAACCTTCCATAAACGATTAGTATTTCGATGTTAGAGTATATACGTAAAGGATCAGGATCATCTACATTTCCATCTATACTCCTATATGGCTGGTACAATCAACCCAAGTTGATACAGTGGAAGCGTGTGTTGATATGTTCAATAATGTTATTCTTGCTGATTTTCAAATCAGAATTCTTTAATAAAAATAGGATTCTCTCTTTTACCAAAATCCTTTTTTTTTTTATTTTTTTTATTTATTAGTTTCTACTGAGATGTTTATACAGTTTCTACTAATTCTACCCTCTTCTTTTTGTCTCCCTTGACAACCCCTTCAATCTACCTTTTTGATACCGAGTGTTCATTCACAGAAACTAACGGACCATTGCACTGTTGATGTGAATTAGTACTGACAGGAACAGGGCACCTTTTCTTATTTTACTTATAAGTTTTCAGTAATCCTTGTGCAATATGTCTGTGGAGTTGCCAACTATTCTGTACAGCCCATATCAAGACAGTGACAAAATAATGAACTGGTCAACTGGTGAGAGATTATCTTTGGGACCGATCGGTTTTTCGAAATTTTGAAAGTTATCTGAAATCCTAGTATCACCTTTTCGCCATGCCATGTATAATTATTTTGTCTCTTGGCTGATATAGAGGCAGATTGATTAGTTCTCACGAAGGTCGACAATAGGAGGTCATCTTCATCATCAGATATCATATACACATCAATAATAATTGTCCGTACGATTTCAACTTTGGTCCTCAGATCACTGCCAGGCCAGGTATTGAACAGTAATTTCATCTTTGGTTCCAGAATCTTCATCAGTTCAGTTATTTGTATTTTCAGGTGGAAAAATTACTATGTCGTCTGGTATGTCGGAATCATTTTCCAAATTAACAATCTCGTCCAGTAACTCATAAAGTCGTAGAAGACGTTTGTTATAACTATAAATTGAGAGAAATACCCATAGCATATAATACCAGAGTCCTTCATAAAGGACGACAACATTGACACTACTGTTTTTTACAAGACCGAATGAAAAGGGACGCATATATTTTGAGGTTATATCTGAACGTATTCTCAATAAGTTCATATAGTTTTTGGAGATAAACGTTTGGAATCTCATAATCTCCAATTATCCCTAGCGCATTCGTAATTAGCACTGTTATAATCAACACCTAATCCGTCGAAAACCGTTCATGGAATGAATAAAACACAAAAAACATGTGGATGTATGTCGTAGAATTCTGTATTGATCCTTTTAAAAGATCCGTGGTATAAACTGGGTTAAGAAATGCATGGTTATCCCCATCCAGTCCAGATTCAAACACCATCCGGTCATCGGCCCAGTCGACCAACCCCCCCCCTTCTTCCCCCCTACATCCTTCTCTTCCGCCTCGGATGCAAAATCGATACGGCGCCACTGCGCACCCGTCGAAATCACCCTCTCGACGCCCGCCATCGAAACTGACTTCCAGCGACGCCGGGCGTCCACACACGGAAACGCTCGCGACGCCGAAGAAGACATTCTCGAGAGGTGCGCGGAACGCGTCGGTATTTGACGGCGGAAAGTGAGGAAAAGCGCGCATAGACTATTTTTTTCGTGGTTAATTATTGTTGTTGGGTGGCCGGCGCTCGATGGAGATCGTGCGGAAAATGGAAGGAGTGTGGGAAATGGTGAGTCGAGCCGGTGTGCTTTTAGGTTATGCGGACTGTTTGTAAACAATCGAGCCGCAATATGATGGAATGAGGAAGCGTTTCGATCTTCGGACAATGAAAGATATCAATTATAGTAGGTATATTTATTATACAAGTTTTATAAGACACAATTTTGTGACAAACACACACAATATGTCTTATAAAACAGATCGTAGATGTCAACGAAATAAAAGTACTTGGCATAATTTTGGATCGAAAGCTTACGTTTGAATGTCACATTGAATGTACAGTCAGGAAATCCTTGAAAACATTAGGTTTCATCCGGTTTCATCCTACGTAGTGCTCACTAGAGTCACTGGATGGTATTAGTTTGATAAGAGTTCGGACACAGCTGAACTTTTGTCCTTTTCTATTTTCTATAATATAATGGTTTAAGTGAATAAAAGAATAAGACATATATTCTGCTCTGTCTTTTCAATTCCCCTAGTAGCACCTGATTGTCAAATACGATTTTAGAGGTTATATTTTCTGTCAAATCAATCATAGCCGTAGATGGACAATGAGTATAGGGTACAAACACCCACTTCAATTCATAGTGATACACTTCTAGCAGAACAAGTGTTTTATATAAATGAAAAGAATGCATGTAACAACATTTTAATATCAGAAAATATACACATATGGATGAACTTATAGCTATAATTCCTTATTGTAAGTGAAACTGTCTCGGAAACTGTACTCCAGTGATAAGTATAAAACATGAAGTTATTTATATTAAATTAAAGGTAGGCATTCTCAATATGCAGGAAGTAACATAGGTACTCTCAAGTGAAGTATTCCTGAGACAATTATAAGAAATAAAGTATATATAAGCTTGTGTCCGGAATTGCTTCATTTCGGAGATACAGGGTGTTGAGATACAGAGAACAAATCCTTTTTCGATGAACATTTGATAAGAAAAAAGTAGTTTATTTTGACTAGACCTACCAAATACATCTTTGCAAATACTTGGTTTTGTAAAGTTCTCAGCAACTTCACTTAGCGCCCTAGGAGCTGAGTAACATGGATCGATATAAAAAATATCTCCAAAACGATAACCTCTAGCGTTATTAAGGCACTTATAAATAATTTTCTTTTTCACTGTTGAATTTTAAATTTGGTCGGCACCAAAAACGACATTCAATAATATATCACTTTGTAGTTTGCTTTTCTTGCTTTCGTTTTCAAATTCTCAATTTCATTACGTAATTTTGCGATAATTTCCTCTTTCTCCATGATTATTTTGTTTTGTATTATGTGTGATGATAATAATGGAATTTTGTTCTTGAAATCGTCTGCTTTGTAAATTGATGTAACAGCAGATTCTCTCAAACAGATTTTGAAATCATCTGTTCGAAAATGGGCCTAAAAATATAGTTTCATTCTAATCAGATATTATGCCGTTATAGGAAGTGAATTTTAATGAGTACCTCACAAATTTCTCTCTTCTTCAAATTGATTTTGCACCCAGGCCATTTCATATCTTCCTTCCATAAGCGAATGGTTGATATTTGTTTCGGAAAATTGAATAAATGATATCAGTTTTTTTCAGAACTGGCACAATTTATTACACAGCAAGTGATTTCCATAGCTGATTTCATATCGAATGTAAAATTATGAAATTTTATTTCAATTCTGACGTTTATAAAATGTATTGTCAAATTCAAACAGTTTTGAATGAAAAAGCGCGGGACGACTATGGTACTCTTGTCACAATGCGTAACTTAATAAATCTAAACATTCAAAAACCCTAACCGTTGTCATTTCTGTGTCCGAACTCTTATCAAACTGATAACATCCAGTGACTCTAGTGCTCACGACTTCAGAAATCACACATTTTTACAATGTACAAAACTTTAGTGAGACCTATGCGTTTTCGCAAGTATATAGGCCGTGATGACTCAGTAGAAAACAAAGTGGTTTATAGCTGTCAATAGTTGTTGACATGAACGCTTATCAAGCTTTCATGCTATACTGTGTTTTCAAATGGTACATACATATACAGTTCAATTCAGATTTCAAAAAGCTCTCCGAAAAATAGTAAAAGAATATCTTTGAATTAAAACATCAATAATATAGAAAAATGTCAACTATTATATATTTTCGGAAAGCCAAAAAAAAATCTGAATCGAAATGTAAAGAAATATACAGGGTGTCCCATTTGAAAAAGAAAATGTTGGCTTCAATTTCTGAAAATGAGCCATTACGGAAACAGAATGAGTACGCCACTGTATTATGCGTAAAAAGTTATACAAGGTCCCGTTCTCACCTTGCCAATAAGTTGGATACTAACCAAGATACGGGAGGTGCTCAAAAAGTGAGAATTTTCAATTTCGCCCTGTATCTCAAGAACATGGAGAGCTGTGACAATTCTGTTTGCGGCATTGTCCGTTTCACAAAAAAGTAATAAGACAGTAATGTGAAAACCGCAACTCTCTATCTCCAAAGACAACTGAGATATCGCACAAAAGCATCGAAAACTGGACACACTGTACATATGTTCACCTTCACCTACACAGCAGAGTGTTGAACTTTCTGAACTTATCTTCTATTTCAGCTTGAATTACCCTATTAATATTAAATTTACAAAAAGAACATGCAATCAAATTATCGGAAATCCAGAATGGTATAATAACAAATTGGTTTTGCAACTACCTCAATTGCTAGAGAAACTTGCAATCAATCCAAGTGCAAAAATTATCCTTCTATTTCCGAAAGTGTCATCAAAATAGTAGAGGCATATATAGTTCAATAGAAAATGTTTTTTTTTGTATACTTATGGCTTCTTTCGTCTGTTGCATCAGGATATCTTCCCACCATCGAGAAACATTCATATTATTATGATCTAGAAAAAAAATGCGCGCATGCATAAACTATTTATTCGTGGGTAATTGAAGACATGAGAATGATAAGTGGATAACAATCACTTTTAGTGAATTTCACTATTTGTCCGATTACATTTAATCGAGCATTTAATAAAGAATCGCTCTATTTTGATATATTTCCAATTTCTTCTTCTTCGACCCTTATTTGAAACTAGTTAATTATTATTGTCTATAAATAATACCAGAAACGTTAATAATGTTGCAAGAAGATTCTTCCAGTTCAGCTTTTATTTATTTATTTATGAAAAGATGTAATACAGGACAAGTCCTAAGTTTACAATTACATTTATTGTCCTTGATACAATAAATTCAAATCTCAAAAAAACTTGCAATCAATGAAAATGTCGAAAATCCAGAATGGTTTGATAATTGCAGATTGCTCTTGCATCTACGACCTCAATTGCTAGAAAAACTGAAGCTAAAGTCTCATGTGAAAAAATTAACCTTATTTCCAAAAGTGTCAAAATAATAGAGGCAGATAGTTAGATGGAAAATAATTCAGTTTTTTGTGTATACTAATAGCGTGATTCGTCTGTTACATCAGTATCTTCCCAGTTATCTCTATAACATCGAGAAACATTTATTTTAATATGATCTAGAAAAAGAATCATATTACCTATTCGCTTTATGTAACTCGAAGCTGAAGCATCGAAAATCCAACAGATTTCGTCTTTTCATCTTTTCTATCCTGCAACAGCGCAACACAAAGTATCAATACCGATTATAAGGGTTCTTCTCTCAAAGCGTTTATGTAGGTAGGTACTTCAAAGAATCATTATGGGGCTTGTTTTGAAGGTATAGAAGACAAGCAAGACCTCGAGCAAGACCAATCGTTTCATGAATTTGAAATGATGATACTGAACATTCCCTTATAGTTTCATTAAAGTAATTGAATATACCAATTACACCAATAACCAATATAACTATTATTTGCACTTCGCAAGTTGAACTATCCTCAGTTGAACCAACATGTAGGTATCCATGTAAATAGGTGGAAAATTCGATTTATCTGTATATACAGGGTGAGTCAATAGTGTGTTCTCCTTCTATATTACCCAAACCGTCAGATATATAGAAAAAATTCGAATAGAACAGCTATAGGGTTTCTTGGGAACCATCACCTAAAATTATTTTCATATCTATAGGGTGTTCGAATTCCAAGATATCGGTTGATGATGGGTGTTTTCAAATGAGACACCCTGTATGTTATTACATTTTCAGATTCTCCCTTAAGAGCTGATTTCATCAATGTATCGCACTTGGGGACTAGCTCTGAAATGGGTGTTAAAAATCTATATTTTTCAACTTTGTGATTTTTTGTGTTAAAACTATTTATTATTGATCGAAACGGCTTAAATGTCCCTATTACAACTTTTGCAGGATGGTTCAAAATTCAAGATTTCTGATCACCCTGTATCTATTCCAATTAAATTTCAGTAGATAGTAAATCAAACGTTGAAATAGGGGCATGTGAGCCATTTCGACCTCGGTTTCGACCAATAATGAATAGTTCTGACACAAAAAAAACCCAAATTTGAAAATTTGCGATTCTGAACACCCTATATCTCTGTGATCATTTTCGCTAGGCTAGACCCTAAGTGTGATGCATTGATGAAATCAGCTCTTCAGGAAATAATTAAAAATGCAATAATATACAGGGTGTCCCATTTAAAAACACCCATCATCAGCCGATATCTTCGAACATCCTATAGATATGAAAATAATTCTAATAGGTGGAAAATAATTCTATATGGGTAATAGCTCTTATGAAATTCTATAACTGTTGTATTCGATACCTAACGTAACCTGACAGTTTGGCTAATATCGAAGGAGAACACACTATTGACTCACCCTGTATAGAAATGTTATTTAGATAATGAGTATTTCTTCATAATTTTCTTGACATTTCATGCTCTAAAATAGATATGTTCTGAAATATTCCAAATACGTTCCTGAACCTAAATAGAGGTTTTTCCTTTATTATTTTTTATTCTGTCGGAAACCACTGTGTTCGTTGGTTTTTATCTATTATTGACCTCATTTCTTTGGAGTGAAGGAAGGCAAGAAAATTGTCTTTCTGTTGCTTTGTTTGAC